AGGTACGGCTTGAAGGGCCACGATCTGATTTGATGATAGTTCGACCGTCTATTTCGACTATTTCCACTGTGCGCTGGATTATAGTGAAAATAGACTTGGGCTGAATCTACCTCACTCCCTCTCTTCCCTCACCCACTTGCGCTCGGTGTCAAAACATAGTCAGGAGGACTCGAGGCGGAATCGGACGCGGGATGGGTCGCCCATCTGAGAGAATAACTCACTCTACTCAGGAAGAAATTTTTTAGGTCTGATGACTTTGAGACACCCTTTTTATGCTCTTTAGTGTACCGCGCTTAGACAACGTCGCTTTTGCAGACATACATACTGAGCATGAGATCATTTGCACAGTACACTAGCACGGTTTTGAACTAAAATGTTGCCTGAATTCTGCACGGAATACACCGACGACTACCAACTGTCACACTTTGCCGCCAATAGGTCGCAATTGCATTCCGCTCATGTTATCTTTTCTTCACGTTTCCGTCAACAAATGCCTATACATTGGGAAAAGTAAAAACAACTCCAGACGGTAAATCGCACTCAAGCGTCAAATAACGAGCATGATGCCGATTCCAGGCTCTCTCTTTCGACAAACCATCTTTCGAATTTAAAAAAAATTCACGACGAGGAGACACTTCTAGTGACGAAAGTATATCGTAAAATTGCAGTGATTTATCTTCAGGAGAGACATGGTTGAATGGTGATATTGATTCGCAACTTTATTACTCCCTTGTCCTTCTGCTGCTTTTGAAATCGTAAAAAAGTCTCAGAACGCAGTAGATATGGAAGAATGGATATTTTTTTCAACCAGAACTGGTTTGTAAACTGTAAGCCCTTACTTCTGTATAGTAATGAGTTGATAGATGTTATTGCTATTAGATGCAGGGTTAGTTTTTAAAAATACTTTTAAAAGCACTTTATTTTTTACTATTTATACTGCCCCCTCTACCAATTATGAGGGTGTTTTAGCTCGGCTTTTAATTTGCTTTCGCAAAACACCTCTTCCATTTTCTTGTTAGCAGCTTATTCTTTTGCACAGCGACTCCAACCATGTAAACCTACGCTCCCTCCCCCCCCCCTGTACCCACTTAAGCCTTGCGATCTTGTTTCATGCAAGGCATGTGCCGAAGGCCCTCTCGACCGCATTCGGATTAATCAACTACGTTTTTTTTTTCATGCGTAAAATAGAGCTCCGCTGTCTGTGTCAAGTAGCTTTGCAAAGATTTACTGTACTTATAAACGCACACAGTCGCCGCAAACTTGAGAGGAGGATGCCGATTCGTGACAGCCCGCCACAAAAAAAGAGTTATCTGGTTAATAGTAGTCCCGCTTAGCGTAAACTATCAAATATCAAATCGTGGTCGGCCTACCTTACAGCGCTTTTAATTAAAATTTCAAATAAAAACTGCTCTACTAACAAGGCTTAGGTAACAAGTCTAAAGACTTTGTAGTAACTAGCTCCACACGAAGTTCACTTGTGAACGCTTGTCGTGACTAGCTCAGGTCGAAGTGCACTTGAAAGCGCTTGCTGCTTGCGACCTCTGTAACAGCCAATCACAGGCCGACTCACAAAGGACCTCATGTGACGACTGCCAAGCAGACATGACTTTGGATGCCGTCTGCTGGCTTGCGGTTGTGCGTTGGTCTGACAGTCAACTTCCTACTAACTATTCTCCCCTTCCTTCTGTACAGAATAAACTCTTGCTACCACTCCGGTCTCCCATGGCGTCTCCTCTCCTAAGGAACCTGGCCTGAAGATCGCAGTTGCCAGAGGCGAACGTACTTAACCCGCTGCGATAACTTTACCGTCTTAGTCCAAAGGCAGATTGTCAGACTGAATAGTGTAACTTTTTTAGCTGTAACTTTTTTAGCTGCTCCTGTAACTTTTTTAGCTGCTCCTGTAAATTTTTTAAGCTGCTCCTCCTTCTCCACCACTTCTTCTCCCCCGACTGGCCAACAAACCATAGTAGCAAACGTTGACGCCAATTTCAACTCGGCAACTGAAAATTGCATCTTTACTCTCAATGACTCCAATCTTGCCTCACAGACCATTTCGCTATCACCGAGAGTCTTCAGTCCCCTGTGTTTGTGGCTGCTGTGATCAAGTATCTTCAAGAGGTCGATGGACAACAGCCGTTACTGGGTTAGATGATGCCTACATAATACAGTAGTCGCCGGTTATTAAGCCCACGGTTAATAGGCCCAGCC